GGATGAGGGCACGCTGACAGCGGCTGAGCCAACTCCAAAACCGGTAAGGCTAGATTTCTTCAACGGTTCTTGATTGATAGCGTGCTTTGTTGTGGAGTGCTTGGTGAATGAGAACTACACACATGCGCAAATGCGCGACCTTCTGTGAAATGTAGCTGCTTGACAGATTTTTTTGTGACGAAGTGAAGATTGAGCAGTTATTAGTTTTTCATAAGAGCTTCCGTACAAGGGGATAGAAACTTCAAGGCGCCGTACGTGACTCCTATTCACATAAATCAGCAGAGACCAGGGTAAGATCAGCACATACATAATTCACAAGTAGAAAGACTTTTGTTTTAACTCCTCCTTGAGTGACTCGAGGCGGAGGATTCAAATTGGTTGAGATCAAAAAGCTTTCCCAAAGAGGGCGCTATCCTTCGTCAAATATTTCAGCGAAATCGATCATACGAAGGGCAATTCAGTTCTGCCACGTACAAGCGCACAAATCTGTCAGCAAATCCATGAACAATCTTAAAATATACCCCAATGCGTCCATACACGTGTGATAACAACGCACACATACTTCAAACCCCTCTCCCCTATCATCGTCGCCGATGATGGCCCTTCGCCAACTGTCGGGGCGGGGCATACCGTTGTAGGGAGAACAATCGTACTCATTCTGTCTTTAACTGTTGCTGTTGTGTGACGAGATACTCTCGTCACACATGTGCTCTCTCTCCCTCTCTCGCTCTTTCCTATAACAACTCACTGAACCACCGAATATTCCGCTCAAAAGGAGTTAGATTAACCCTAAGTCTCAAAAGCACCCACAAGTCTGGTGCATCGGCCCAAATAAGCCACTCAGTTTTGGGGCCTAGGAGAAGAGACTAGCTCTTTGAGCAACTTCACATTTGGTCAATTCAAGACCAAGAATCAATTGATTCATAAGCCTCCCGTACCAAGTACTTGGAGCAAATCAGCTACTAGTTTAGCTAATCGGTATTCCAAAAAAGGACTGAATACCAAACCAAAGATAATATAATGGCGCTGCAGTTCCATAAGATGCCTATTGTACTGAGTGCCCAAATACTCAAAAATTTAGTACTCCGCTACAAGGAGTACACATTAAAAACAGACTTGTCCACAAAGATGAGAATAATTGTGAGAAGTGCAGATCTACGATTGCACTACAACAGAGTGGCCTACAGCAAGTCAAAAACGGCCGAAAGCTAGAGAAACTTTCGCCAAGATCAGAGCAGGAGCTCAAAAACATGCAAAAAACAAAGTCGCGAAAAAAAAAATAGCGCCGAAATCGAGCAGCAGGATAGAGAGGCAATCAAAGCCCTGAACTGATAATAACAGAGTCGGAGGACCTAAGTTACGTGTTAACAGCACCACTCGATGAAGCAAAGTGCGCTAGGGACAGAATGAATGTCAGTGGGTACATCACACAAAAAGCACAGATCGAAAAATAACGACACAGAAGACCACGTAGTTCATGCTGTACCAGACGAGGATATAGAACAGTACCAAAAACGGAGAGAATAGCGCTTCTTCCAGCGCGCCTATTCTGGAACTGTTTCAAGGGGATTATCATCGTCGCCGACGATTCCCCTTCGCCAACAGCCCGGGCGGGGCTCCCACTTCCCTATAACAACTCTCAACTCCTATAACTTTTTTCCGTGCAGCTATAGAAGAATGTGGCCTTAGTCATTATGAATTTCTTCTTACAGGATGAAGGCACCTTGACAGCAGCTGAGCCGACTCCCAAACCAGTGAGACTGAATTTCCGTTAATTGATTCTGAAGATGAGTTGTCGTTATTCTCTAAGTGACATTCTTCTTGCAGGACGAGGGAACATTGACAGCGGCAGAGCCGACTCCTAGACCTGTAAGTGTAAATTACCCTCTCTTATCTCACTGGATTGTTGGGAAATCAACTGCTCTTTCCAAAATGAATACGAAATTTGTTCTCTCCAATGCAACTTACAGTTGAAGGTTGTATGAGCCACTGCTTTCGACAGAATATTAATATCGAACAGGCATTTTCGTGATTAGTCTTATGCGATGTTCTTTTTCCGTTCACATGGTCCTACAGTGAATCGTTGATGTCATTCGTTGATGGCGATTCGTTGATGTCAAAGCCGAACGAACGCATGCGTTGTATGGCGTAGAAGGTGGCACCCGAATTTTCAAATTTTTCGCTCTAAGGCGTAGAGGACACTGGGGCAGTCGAATTGTCCACAATCAGAAATGACTACAGAGGTAAGAGAGTAGAAAGCTCCAGCACATTCTCCAAAAATCCTGCAACATGCAGAAATGAGTGGCACGGTCCTTCCATCACGTAATATTTCGGCCTAAGGCTATTTGTGCTGCAGTGATGGTCCTGCAACTACGACAAATAGAGGTCTTTGCTATTATGACATTTTCTTATAGGACGAGGGTACATTGACAGCAGCTGAACCGACTCCGAAACCAGTGAGACTTAATTTTCCTCGAGTATTCCTGTTCAAATAATGTTAAGGCCGTCGCTATAACGACATTTACAGGATGAGGGCACCTTGACGGCAGCTGAGCCGACTCCGAAACCAGTGAGGCTATTTCCACGTTAATCGTTCTGGAGACCCTTGACCGTTATTCTCATTCTGACATTACTCTTACAGGACGAGGGCACACTGACAGCAGCTGAACCGACTCCGAAACCAGTAAGGCTCAGTTCCCAACAAAATTTTTATATTTTAGTGAGTGTGAATGTCCTCGCCATAATAATGTCATTTACAGGACGAGGGCACTTTGACAGCAGCGGAACCGACTCCGAAACCGGTGAGGCTCAATCTCCATTAGCATTTCGTGTGTCGAAAAATCTAAAGGCCGTCGCTATAGGGCTATTCTTTACAGGATGAGGGCACATTAACAGCAGCTGAGCCGACTCCGAAACCGGTAGGGCTCGATTTCTGTTGAAACTTTCTGATTTGCTGCACACTCCCGTTTCTTGTTGCTGCTACCGTGACATTCTTCTTATAGGACGAAGGCACTCTGACAGCTGCTGAGCCGACTCCCAAACCTGTGAGGCTGCATTTCTGATAGTATTTTTGTTTTGAAGAATTGTATATTTCTTTGCCATATTAGCATCTTTTACAGGACGAAGGCACCTTAACAGCAGCTGAGCCGACTCCGAAACCAGTGAGCCTAAATTTTTGATAACATTTTATGTTCACTAGGTCGGAGGAAAAGTTTTGTTGTATTTCCATTTTACATCTAGGGCGGGACCAACATCGTTTACTTGTTCAGAAGTGCTTTTCTCTTTTTTTGCAATATGAACAACGGTTTCATCCAGCGTCTTCAGCTCCTGCGTCCTCTAACTATTTTTTTCTAGTCCTCTGGTACTTAAGCGTGAGAGCTGCTGAAGCCAAAGGGAGGTGTATAAGGAGCATGCCCCCAGTAACTGAGCATCATTCTGCGACAATGCTTCGAAAGAAAGCTCTAGTCTAGACAAAGTGAAGTCTGATTGTCCACCTCTGGTCAACTTAAAGGAGCTGTTGCTTGTAAGACTGCTAAATCAAGAATCTGCCTTCACGATTATTATCTTCGTAGCTATGAAATTCGAAGCGAATCGCCTTGCGAAAGGTTGAAAAGAAGCTCATGCAAGACACCTGGACCGCCCGCCTTCAGCGCATGGGCGACCTCAACATAGTTCTTTCCGTCTTAACCCGCAACACGAACGAGAAAAACTCCACGACCTGGTCTCATTTCCGAACTCGAATCTGACGTCCTACATTGTGCTGCGCAGCTCTGCATTGTGAGCTGGCATCTATATGACAGGAACCTAACAATGGTGGACACCTTGTTCTCAAACCTTTCCCGTCAAGAAGAACGCCAGATCAAAAAAAGGACAGAACTTCCCCGCCGACCTAGTAATTGCCTACTGCCGTTACCGTGACACGTTTAACTATTGATATGCATCTTACAGGACGAAGGCACACTGACGGCAGCCGAGCCGACTCCAAAACCAGTAAGGCTAAGTTTTCAATAGCATTCTCCATTTGAGAGATTGTGATTGTCGTCGCTTATACGGTGTTTTTACAGGACGCGGGCACCTTGACAGCAGCGGAGCCGACTCCGAAACCGGTAAACCTTAGTTTTCAGTAACATTGTTTTACTTGGGAGATCATAATTTTCGTCGCTATAATGGTATGTTTACAGGATGAGGGCACATTGACGGCGGCTGAGCCGACTCCTAGACCGGTAAGACTGAATTTTCACCGTAGTATTATGTCTGGAGAAGCAGCGGTGGGGTGGTGTGGTGGAGAGTGGTACGCTTACAACGCGCGCGATCAGGGTACCAGTCCTGGATCGACTCTCGCCCATGTCAACCAAGCCTTCTAGCTGCAGAAAAGGAAGTTAGATGGAACCAGATTCGTCTGGGGGAATGAGAGCACTGACTTGTGCTCTTGTTCTCCCAGACGGCCCCGCAAGCCAATTGTTAATGGAATTAGCATGCGTGCCGCTGGACAAGGGACTGATCAATTTTGCAATTATTCTTTTTATTATACTTAAAACATTACCTCGCAGTGCTCTGTACGATTACTTTCGCAATAGTGGAGTGCCCTAGTCGTCCTAGAAACAAGGGAGAGTTTGTTTTCAAAAGTTGATTCATTATACTAAAGCGAACGCATAGCCTTTTTTTACTAACTTGGCGATACGCTTTAGTGGATGCTGTGGAGTTTTTAAATGGCCCTGCCGTGTACTACCGCGCCAGTCGACAAACTGAGCAAATTCTGGCGGCAGGTGTAAACTCTATCACGAGCGGCCGAGCCAAACTGCATTAACAGTAAGAAGCAGCCTTAACGACGGTTGAGTCAAAGCGCTGAACCAGCAAACACGGGAGAGAGAGTACCGGGGTGTTCTGCGGCTGCACCGTTTTGGACTCCTTGCAGTTGTGATTGCTCTTGTGACTGTGGTGGCCATAATGATATTCTTTACAGGACGAGGGCACATTGACAGCGGCTGCGCCTACTCCGAGACCAGTAAGTGACTTCGGAGTTTTATACTGGGAAGGTTGTGGTCGCCGCTATTATAACCTTTGCAGGACGAGGGCACCCTGACAGCGGCTGCGCCGACTCCAAGACCGGTAAGGATCGATTTCAACTGGTATTTTAGATCAGGAAGAGACTGGTTGTCGCCGCCATGATAACCATTCTTCTTGCAGGACGAGGGGACACTCACAGCTGCCGAGCCGACTCCGAAGCCAGTGAGGCTAAATTACCTTCAGCTTCTTTAGCAGAAAGTGTAGTTCGTTCAGTCTGT